ATAGACAAAGCAACTGAATCGCCATTTCTCCAAAATATTGGCAAATTTATGAACTCACTGGCATTTTAAGAACTACAGAATGAAAGAAGTTTCTAGGTTTGTGCTTATCAAAAAAAAGAAGAATACAGGTTGATAAACCACCATAAATTGAAACTCTTTTAAAAGAACAGAAAAACAATTCCTGTTCTTATTTAAAATTGTATACAAATGGTCGTCACTTAATTTTATTTATTTATTTATTTTTTAATAATTTTATTTATTTATTTTTCCCCCAAAGCCCCAGTAGATAGTTGTATGTCATAGCTGCACATCCTTCTAGTTGCTGTATGTGGGACGCAGCCTCAGCATGGCCGGAGAAGCAGTGTGTCGGTGTGCACCCGGGATCTGAACCCGGGCCGCCAGCAGTGGAGCACGCGTACTTAACCGCTAAGCCACGGGGTCGGCCCTCGTCACTTAATTTTAAAAACGACCCTATAGAATCATCTTAAATTATTTATGCGATATTGGCCTATCTAGTATGATGTCATGAATTTTATAGTAATAAGTACAGCTTCGGAAGTAACAATAATTTATTTCTGCTTCTCAGAAAGCCGCGCTTCTTCTGAAATTTCTGAAGACAAATGTGTTCGTATTTGGATAGCTGTGCTCTAAAATCAGGCGCATGCACTCACAGATATGCAACAAGTTGTGGATCACTCTAGGAAGTCATCAAAGTGACAGAGATTGATAATAAGCTTGTGGAAGACCAAGGTCATGAATCAACTTGCATTGAGTGAACCCTACACTCGTCTAAAACCTGTCATTGGAAATACCAAGCTGAAAGCTGTCACTGAAACGTGTTATCTTTGCAGAAGGCTGTCAAGCGTTGCAAGTCAAGTAGAAAACCCTATCAGAGAGCTCAGCAAATTGCCTTTGGCAGCCTTCCGGAATATGGCACTGAGGTGGCACTCAATTCCAAGATCTGATTACACCCAGTGTGGCAAAGCTCGCATCCACCACATTCAGATCGTCCGAGGAATATATGCCCATCGTGGTTCTCCAAACGACACTCACATTTGAAATATAAAGCAGGACCATTGGTAGACAAAATCTGAATTGTAACAATAAGCACACAATCTACACTGGGAGAGGAGAGAGATGAAGGTGAAAAGATGTGTACAAATAACATTACTGATACACGCATTTTTCCTGAGCAGCTACTCAAATGGATGAGTCAAGGTACAGGAGAGGGTAGCCTGCTGTAAGGCACAAAGGAGAACTGTTTAGGGGGACATTATGAAAAAGAGGCCAAAGCCAGGAATCACTGTGCTAAGTGAGTGGGAAGCAATTCTGTGAACAAATCAGACCAACCCAAAGCAATCAGCCATAAATAATCTCAGACAAATACTGGTTTGGAGAAAGAAAATGGATCCCCAATGTTGCACATGCAGCCAGTTAGGTTAAAGGAAAAGGCAAGTCTGTGACCCACAACATGAATGGGACCAAAAGGCTGATAGTGAAGTTATTTTAGCCCAGCATGAGGGCTTCAGGCAGCCAAGGTTCCTCAAAGGGATTACTAGAATGGTTTGTAGTGACATTCTTGGTTACAAAGGGATTATTTCAAAAGAGAGGGACAGCATTTGTTTTTAATGGATTAGTGTTATAAGAGTTCAAAAATAAGATATGAAAAATATCTTTAGCACCAACAGAACCCCAGGTAGCACTAGGCAAAGATGTAATCTAACACCCATAACACCCGGTGTTTATTTTCAGATCAGACAAGGGGGCAAAGTAAGGCATTCTCTACTTCCATGAACAATCTATAACTGATAGTTGCACAATAGTGATTAAGAAGGAGGCAGCTCTTTGCATTAGCAATAGTGAAAATATGATGCATCATATTCACAAATCCCAAATGAAAAGTGAGATGGGTAAAAGGAAGCAGGAGGATGGAATTGCTGCCCTGATATACAAAGGGAAGAGACAGTGTTCATCTGCACTCTAATACAATAAGAAATATTAACAAAGCAAAATCTCAAGGAGGATAAGAATTTTATTTCCATTTGTGCATTTGGCACAGTGCTGTACAACAGAACTTTCTGCTATGATAGAGTGTTCTTCATCTGTGCTGCGCAATATGGTAGCTACTAGCCATATGTGGCTACCGAGCACTTGAAATGTGGCTAGTATAATATTACCCAAAGCAATCTATAGATTCAATGCAATCCCTATCAAAATTCCAATGGCATTTTTCACAGAAATAGTAAAAACAATCCTAAAATTCCTATGGAACCACAGAAGACCCCAAATAGCCAAAGCAACCCTGAGAAAGAAGAACAAAGCTGGAAACATTTTATTTCCTGATTTCAAACTATACTACAAAGCTATAGTAATCAAAACAGTACGATATTGGCATAAAAACAGACACACAGACCAATGGAATGGAATCTAGAACCCAGACATAAACTCACACATAAACAATCATCAACTAATATTTGACAAGGGAGCCAATAACATGCAATGCAATGGATAGTCTCTCCAATAAACGGTACTGAGAAAACTGGATATTCACATGCAAAAGAATGAAATTGGATCCCTACCTTACACCACTCACAAAAGTTAACTTGAAATGGATTAAAGATTTAAATGTAAGACCTAAAACCGTGAAACTCCTAGAAGAAAACATAGGGAAAAAGCTCCTCGACATTGGTTTTAGCAATTATTTTTTCGATATGACAACAAAATCACAAGCAACAAAAGCAAAAAGAAAAACTGGGACCACATCAAACTAAAAGCTTCTTTCTGCACACCAAAAGAAATAATCAACAAAATGAAAAGGCAACCTATTGAATGGGAGAAAATATTTGCAAACCATATATCAAGTAAGGGTTTAATATCCAAAATATATAAAGAACTCACGCAACTCAAATGCAAAAAAAACACAAAATCTGATGGAAAATTGAGTAAAGTACCACAGACATTTTTCCAAATAAGAAATACAAATGGCTACCAGGTACGTGGAAGGTGCTCACCATCACTAATCATCGGGGAAATGCAAATCAAAATCACAATGAGACATCACCTCACACCTGTTAGAATGGTTATCATCAAAAAGACAAGCGATAAAAAGTATTGGAAAGAATGTGGAGAAAAGGGAACCCTTGTGCACTGTTGGTGGGTATGTAAATTGATACAGCCACCATGGAAAACAGTATGGAGATTCCTGAAAAAACTGAAAATTGAAGCCTGCGCAGGTCCCAACCTGTCCATGGTTTGGGGCTGCTATCTGCCTCATACAGCAAAGTAGAGGATTTGTCTTCTAGGAAGACAAAGTCGTCTTTCCTGAAAAATCCTCCTACACAGTTGGCTTTGGCATCCTCCAGGAATAGGAGCGCAGGGATTGAAGCCTCATAGGTTGGGGTTTTCAGCTGAGGCAGAGAGGGGACAGTGGTTATAACCAGAAAGTCCAGAGTGGGGTGCAGTTACCTCTAGAACTCATCACTGTTAACCCAGACTGGGCTTCATGACGGTCACAAAAGTGGATTCCTTAGTAATAAAATCATACACTTTCCAAAAAGAACCCAAAAAAACCTAAAAAATAGAACTACCATATGATCCAGCAATCCCACTTGTGGGTATATACCCAAAGGAAATGAAATCACTATCTTGAGGAGATATATGTATTCCCATGTTCATTGCAGCATTATACACAACAGCCAAGACACAGAAACAACCTAAGTGTCCATCTATGGATGAATGGTTAAAGAAAATGTTATACACGCACACACACACACACACATATTATTCAGACATAAAAAAGAAGGAAATCCTGCCATTTGTGACAACATAGATGGACCTTGAGGGCATTATGCTAAGTGAAATAAGTCAGACAGAGAAAGTGTATGTTCTCACTTATAAATGGAATCTAAAAAAGCTGAACTTACAGAAACAGAGTAGAAGGATGCTTACCAAGGGCTGGAGGGTAGGGTAAATGAGGAAAAGTTGGTCAAACAGCACAAATTTCCAGTTATAAAATGAATAAGTTCAACTATAGAGTATTATATACTTCAAAGTTGCTAAGAAATTATGTCTTAAATGTTCTCACCACAAAAAAAAAAAAAAAAATCACTATGTGCGGTGATGGATGTGTTGTGGTAATCATTTCACTCTACAGTCATGTGTCGCTTAACAACCGGAATACATTCTAAGAAATGTGTGATTAGGCGATTTTGTCATTGTGCAAACATCCTAGAGTGTACTTACACAAACCTAGATGGTACAGCCTACTACACACCTAGGCTATATGGTACTCATCTTATGCGACCACCATCGTATATTTGGTCTGTCATTGACTGAAATGTTGTTATATAGCACATGACTATATGTATGTGTATTGAATAATCACATTGCAAACCTTAAATTTATATAATGCTATATGTCAATTATATCTCAATAAAGCTGGAAATAAATAAAGTCAAGTGATTCCCCCAAATAAAACCCCACAAAAATCTGAATGTGTGTCTTCTCTGCTTTCAAACATTACAGATAGACAACCTAACAAAATGGAAAAAAAAGATACATGACTAGTGCAACTGAGGGACTGAATTTTACTCTTACTTAATTTTAATTAATTAACATTTCAATTTAAATAGCCACACATGGCTAGTAGCCACCATATTGGACAGAGCAGATTTCTGAGAGTCCATTCTGTACACTTTACATATATTGACTCATTTAATCCTTACAACCCTATGAGGTTGATACAATTCTATTATCCACATTTATCATATTCTTAAAATCCCAGGCACAGAGTGGTTAAGTAATTTGCACAAAATCACACAGCCAGTTAAGCAAGTGGCTGGTTCTCAAACCAAGGGCCGATTCCAAAGCTCTCACTCAGCTATACGTTCTCTATAGCAACGTGCACTACTCAAGAAGCAAGTCATGATTAAGGTAAATACCAGAGACAACCAGAAATATTCCACGTTGATTTGCAGGCAGGTAAAGAAGACACAGTCTACCTGTTTTCCCTGTGTTTTTCATCCAGGTTTTGTTAGAAGACTCGTTGTCGAAGCCATCAAGTTGCAGCTCCTGATACTCTTCACCGACACGTGCATGGTGGTCTAAAATGTCAATCGGAGACTGGTGACGGCCTCCGCAGCTGACACTCGACGTGACCCAGTGCTCAGGACCATAGGCGCCTGTTAAAAGAGAACAACACTTCAATCCTCATGGCTCAAGGGTCAGGGATGGAACAAATCAGACGTAGGAAGCCAAGCACTGCATCTCCCAAGGTACATCGTCCTTCATGTCTCCACTCCAAAGAGGGCAGTGTATTGAAAACAATAGATTCAAGCCATTTGCTTGATACAGCAAGAAGATGTAAGGAAAGATATGTTACTTAAGATATTCTTGCTTCCTGCTTTGTAATTAAACATTTGTTAACTTTACCTGTAATCAGATTAAGGGAGCTGAGCAGAAGGGCTGTCAGAGTTGTTCACATTTTTAAAAATTTTTAAATAAGTTTCCTAAAATAAGCAGAGCGTTTATTCAGAAGACAATATCTTAATCAATGTAGCATGTTTTGCTATTGTGAACAGTATATGAAACACAACTTTTCTTCTTAGCTCCTAGCAGTTTGCGAACAGGAAAAGAAAACAAGAAAAAATTAAAAGCAACACAACAGTGGATGAGAGTCATTACCAATAATGTAGGGAATGAGGCAGGGTTTTCCTATGGCTAATTGTGAAAGATTTTCTATTTGGCCAGAGTTTGTACACTTGTGTGTTAAGGCACTTGCTTCTCCTTCAAAAACCCTCTCTGTCATAGGAGATGAGGGTATAAAGCCAACTTCAGATTGGACTCAGCTCTCATATAAATAAAGATGTTTTTAATATGCCACAAAATTAAAGGAAGAGAATACAACTATTATGCATAATCCTAATGGGTACCAATCAGGCACAGGTAGAGAAAACACACTGCATATCCTTCTCTGCCCTATTCGGAAATAAAATATTCTGAGGGTGATGTCTATTAAGTTGATAACAAGCTCTGAGATTTTTCTGCGCCCCTCCTTTAACCTTCTTGACATAACAAGGCAGAAGTAGCCTGTTGAAAAGAAGCATCCTTTGCTAGAAAGATTAAAATTAATCTCTTTTTGAGAATTAGTTATAGAATAAGTCTAAACTTTATAATTTTTAGAAGCTAAAACTTAGGCTTCCCAATCAATAAAGTGTAGTGTATGTATATACATACATATACATATACATGTACTCCTAGGTTTTTTAGGTTTAAATTTCTAGATGAATAGCCAAAATGATTTTAGGTGACCAACCTACCCATCAGCCAGTATTTTTGTGCCTCACTCTATACCTAGCCTTGTATAATGGAGGAAACAAGGAAACCATAAGGCAAGTCTCCCTAGCATTGAATAAGAGCCCACAGTGGTGCCCAACCCACCATCACACACTCATTTGCCATGGATTTCTCCATTCCTGTAAGTCTGATGCAGCTCACAGCTGATATAAACAACGGTACCATGAAAAAAGGGACAAACAGAAAATCTTTTCGGTCATGATAATGGAAGCTTCATGGCTGCAAGAGCAATTGATGTAGCTCCCTAAAAATGATTCATATGCTTGCTATCTGGCAAATAACTTGGCCTCTCTTTATGGCTAGGTCATTTTCCCTAATCCTCATCCCAAACAGTAAGATAAAAGAGACTATCAGAAAGAACATGTTCACTGATTGGCAAAGGTTTAGCAGCCTCACGGCACTTTTCAAAATCATTTACAAGTGCTATCATACTTTCTAGAAGAAGTTAACATCACCATTTTCTTTACTGTAGGAATCCAACTAAGGTAGGAAAAGTCAAGGGCTTTTCACTCACGTTGTTTCACTTCTTGGTCAAATTCCCTAAAACTGTGACGAGTCATAAAGGAACAGAGTGTGCATCTGCATATATTTTAGCCAAATTTAATTTTCATCTTGCATCAATACATTTGAAGAAAAAAACAAGGGAAAGGAGACGTAAGGAGTACTCCCAATTATCCTGTCCACTCTTTAAATTTTCTTCCAGATGCCAAAAGAATCCACTGAAAAATTGAGTAAAGTGATTGTTGATATATTTGATGCTGACCAAAATGTAAATTCTGATTAGCTACAATTGGGCCTGTTACGTTGGACTTATGGAAACCAATGTTTCCATAGGCAACAAACATAATGTTGCCTTTTAGAAACTCACTAGTACAATAAAATTTAACTCAATGGAAAAAAAATGCATGGTAAAATAAATCCAAACATGTATGACTCCAAAGAAATACGACTGCAAGCTATCATTTCTAAAAACACATAGACACCTGATAATTATCCTACTAATAAAAAAAATACTCCGTAACCTCCGAAAAATACTTGCCATTCACATAATTTCTCATAACCTTCCAGACATGTGTGAAATATAATTTAGCACTCTATAAAAATATAATCAGGGTTCGTGCCACTGGGATTCATTTATTCACTGGTAACAATCTAAAGATTTAAGCTGACTACACGCTTGCTTTCACACTTCCACCCAACACACATTCAAGTGCAATTTTAATTGAAACTGATCTTCCACTTCAGATTTTAAATTAATTCTTCTTTGGAGTGGTTTCATGCTCCAGACTCCATTGCCTTGCAAAAACCCCTGTGTCATTAGTGGAGGAAATAGCACACTTTTTCCAGGCTTGCAGGTATTGATCACCCATTCTCTCGTGGAAGCACCATCACCATTCCACACTATATAAATCTCTTCAGTGTTAAGACACTTTATAAAGGACTGAGAATTATATCATTAATCATTTGCAGTTGCACAAGTCTCACAGTATTGAATGCTTTGTTTTTCAGAACTTTGAATAAACGCTTTTAAGTAAAAAACATGACACTAAATAAAAACTGTAGTTAAACCTACTTTTGGGGGAAAAAAAAACCAAATCAGTAAAAAGCCTTCCTCTCTCAGGTATGACATTACCCATCTAAAATAAGAAGGAAAAGTCATTTACACTTTAGTATCCTCTTATTGACTTTTTCTTAGAATGCGTAGGATATTTGCATTTTGGCAGCACTCATTTTGAACAGCACACCAGCTCAGGCATGTCAACTTAATATACAAGGCTATGTTCTCCAAAGGCGAGGGGTGGGGCGAGGGGGTAGAAACCACAGGGTAGTTCGGTCTGCCGAAAGTAATTTCCTGTTCACTTGTTGAGAGACTTGTAGGAATGAGATCTTGATGGAGACATACTGCCAACATATCAGTACCAAGGGAATCTAACAGTTGAGATTTGAGTTTCTCACTCAACCTATGATGGAAAAAAAGTATTTTCTTTTTAATGAACGCATCTGAAACCCCAGGCTAAAGGTTTGATCTCAGTGTAAATATCCCCTCATGAGGGAGGTTTCTGTGAAGAATGCACAGGGGTTCTGTACTATCCTGACAACGGGTCCTTGGTTTCCTTCTGACATCTTATCACTCTTTTAATTTATAGCTTATTCCTTAATGTCTGTCTTCCCCATCTAGGTGGTTACTTTATGAGAACAGGGTTCCTTCTCCGTCTTCTTCAAGTTTATTCCAATGCCTAGCACAGGGACCTACTTACAGTGAGTCCCTAATATATATTTTTTTGCACAAGTAAATAAATTGGAAGGTGAGATGAAAGAGTTGCATAGTTCTGTCCTCTAATGACACCACAGCATGTTCTCTGTGCATTATTTTGGTTTTAATTTTATACTTCTATCTGCTGGCTTCTTACTAAGTCTTCCTCACTCTCTAGGCCTCGAGAGTCAGGATGTCAACTTCAGAGTAAACGCTCCCTCTTTTCTTCATGTATATGTTAAATTAGTCTGTATGGTGAGAAGGTAAGATAAGCAGCAAATATGTGATGTGCATGATGGAATCTGTGTGCAAATGTAACAAGCCCACCAAAGGCAACTGGTTTTTAAAAGAATCTTTTCCTTTGCTGAGATAGAACCTTTGCTTTGGATGGCTTTTGTGAAGCACTATTAATTTTAAGGCTCTCGTATTCTTTCCATGCTTTAACAGAGTCCTCTAAGCAAAGAAGGTCAATCAAGGAGGAAAATTAGTTTGTTTGGTTTTTTTTAAAGATTTTATTTACATATTTTTTCCCTCAAAGCCCCAGTAGATAGTTGTATGTCATAGCTGCACATCCTTCCAGTTGCTGTATGTGGGACACGGCCCCAGCATGGCGGGAGAAGCGGTGCGTCGGTGCGCGCCCGGGATCCGAACCCGGGCCGCCAGCAGCAGAGCGCGCTCACTTAACTGCTAAGCCATGGGGCCGGCCCAAGAAAATTAGTTTTTTTAATCAATCCATCACTGTAGTCATTTAAATATTGACTCAACGCTTGCTCAGTACCAGGCACAGTGCTGAGAAATGGGTGCTAGTGGGCAGAGCTGCCCCAGTTCCCTTGGGGTTTCCTTGGGAAACTTAAGCTGCCTGTGGCTCAGCCTTCTTATCTGTACAATGGGGAGAATTACTAGTATCCATGTGAAAAGGCAGTTGTGAAAATTATATGAGAGAATCCATGTAAAGTACTTAGAACATTGTCAAAGAAAAACTCTGTAAGTGTTGGCTGCTATGATTCTTGCCGTCGTTCTTGTGTTATAAAATGTGCAGCAAGCCCTTGAGAACCTGACTATATAATGGAGGAAATAATGGTGCCTGTAGTGCAACCAAGGGCTCAGGTAGGTATACTAAGAGAGAGAGTGAGGGGCTCTCACTTCCCTGATGACAGGACTTACAGAGGAGGTGACATTTGAGTGGAGCCACACCCTGAAGTGCTGTGAAGTTTACTAAATGCTTCTCACTTGGGCAGAGGACAAGAGTCAAAAGTATAGTTGACCCCTACTGAAGGTGAAGCTTAATCCCAGCACAGCTGGATTTAGTGACTAGCTTCCAAAGAATAAAGTGAGGAAAGGGAAAAATAGCAACTTCCCAGTGGAGAAGCCTGGTAAATACCACCCTAACTAAGTGGCAAAGGTTACCATCACCTACGATATCATGGATTATCATGAACATCCTGATAGGATATGATAAGAGGGGGGCATCACCTCTGTGGGATTCTTTCTAAAAATTCATAACCTTAGTCTCATCATGAGGAAAAATCAGACAAATCCAAACCGAGGAACGTTCTACAAAATACTTGGCCA